CCCCAAAACCCCAAAACCCCAAAACCCCTCTTTTTAATTAAAATTTTGAAAATGAAGAATATTAAAAGTTTCAAAGACAGATTTTGGGAAGATAAAGATGGGGATGAGATTTGAAAGAGATAGAATTTACTGAAAAAGTAGAAGTCAGCTTGGAGTTAAAAATCTGATTTGGAACTGTATTATGGGAGATAAAATCTGAAGAATCTGTGAAAAAGAAACTCTCTTGGGTAACCTGTCTTCTCCAGTCGTCGAGAGTGAGAGATCTTCATCAGAGACATCATTTAAGTAATCCATTAGATTTTTGGCAGTCTTACTATTTTTCCTCGGAGAAGGCGAACAGAACAGCGTGTAATTCTTGCAGCCACCTCCATGATTCCTACTGTTTGGTGGTGCTCCTAGTGTCTTCATATTATCAATCCCCTATAGTAATAAGCATTTGAGCCAAAGTGTGAGAATAAAAGATCTGTTAGCTTCGAAAACTTCATAAAGGCTTCGTAACATGATATGATCAAAAGCATAAGTTGGTTACTACTCCTTCTGAACCTCAGGCCTACCTCTTTAGTGTAGTCTCCATCAAGATCGCTATACCTTGGCACAGAGATTGCAGGCATCTTGGAATGTTTAAAAATATCAAACTTCTTTACAGTTGCCACATTGATTTTAGGATTATTCCTCGGTGAATTTCTTTTAACAGTGATCGGGATTTTAGAACGTCCTGCATGAACATTTGTAGGTTTTGGCCTGTGAGAGAGCGGACTGAGGAAATTTAGCTGTTAGCGAGGTTAGACAGAAATCAAGAAGAAACTAGACCAAGGTTGGATTAACTGGAGATAAGGCATGAATTTGATATGTATATAGTTAAAATATAATTAGAGAAATTAAATAGAAACAATAAAGATACTAAACTAGCTATGAGTTTGCTCAGGCATATCGTTAATATGCTTGGCTGGATGTAGAGAGATTATTAATGTTAGCAAGAAGCTCATTGATTATGTGATGGTTGACCTGATTATAGTAGAAAAGTATATTAGATCAAAGCAAGCACGTATTAATTATCTATATGTCAAAACTCAAATCCTTTTTAATGCTTTGCTCTCACTTCTGATTAACAAAGTTAATATATTGTCTATATAAAGAATAACCAGATTTAATTTATAATTTCATAATAAACTGTTACGAATGTTTGTAAAATTTCAGAGGTGGAATAGCAGTCCTCCATCTCTACTGAAATTAACACTGCTCTAATAAGTGAAAATATCTTTAAGAAATTCTTAGGAGAGTAGTATCTAATAAGAGCCAAATCACAGTTATGATATCTTACTTTATTTCTTAAGGAATTTGCTAAGATCCCTTTTTGGATATCCATTGAGCTTTCTTTTAGTTGAACATACGTTTGTGACAAACCTTCTTAAGAATTCTCTGAGGATTTTTCAGCTTCATCTTCTGTAATTCCTCTAATAGAGTTCCCTTGGCTGCTGGCTTTCTGCCAAAAGGGTTCTTTTTAACCTTAGAAATAGGATCAAGTTTCATTTCTTTCACCTGATTAATACTCATTGGTGAGTGCTATGGAAGAAATATGACTTGATGTTAATAAGAAGTTGTAACTTACAAAGCGGGAGAAGCAAAGTCTCTCCTTCTGAGGCCCTCTAATACTCTCTAACAGAGAAGGTGCGTAATGTCTGTTTCTTCCTGATGACATAGGAGTGTGGCGAGTCGACGAGATATAATTTATAGTATCAATCTTGTAAAAACTCAGGGGTTTTGGGGTTTTGGGGTTTTGGGGG